TACAAATTAATTATATGGAAGAATATGAATAGAAAACATGTAACACATTTTATAGTAGAGTTTATATTCTTTTGGGACAGTAGTAGTAGAATTCATACCCAATAGTGACCTTTAGAATGTTTGTATGGGCCCTCCCAGGTGGCACAGCGGGTTAAAGCACAGCACTAAGAAGCTTAAGCCACTTCCGCATGAGTTCGATCCCTGCCTGCCCCGGAGGTGACCACATGGCGTGGCAGACCTCTCCTTGCCCACCCACTGCTCCCCTCAGCAGTGTAATTCGTAGATCTGCCTGTTCTGCTCCCCACTCTATCTCTGGTGAAGCCTCTGGCCATCCTGAGCCTCTGGCCTGTACCCCAGTTCTGTATGCACAAGTAAATAAATCTTTAAAAAAAAAATGTTTATATGTTTTTGCAAGCTGACAATAGATCTGAGGCATACAGCAGGGGAGGTGGAAGGAGAGTGGTCAGAAACATAAATTTAAGAAAAAATCCAAAGTCTTTTGATTACCACTTTGTCAGAATTTAAAGATAGACAAATTTTTGTAAATACATATATATATTGTAAAGATTTATTTATTAATGCATACTACTGGGGTACAGGCCAGAGGTGCAGGGAATGAGAGGATTCAGAGACAGAGTGGGGAGCAGAACAGGTGGACTGACTGATAGACAATGCTGAAGAGAGAAGCAGGGCGAGACAAGAGAGGTCTGCTGCACCATGTGGGTCACCTCCCTGACAGGGGATTGACCTCCTGCTACAGTGGCTGGGAATAGCTTCATCGTGCTGCTTTTTAATCCCTTGTGCCACCAGGGGGGCACTCTAAATATATTCTATCACAGAAGTGGTTCTGTTTTTATTTTTTGCTACTTTGTAGAGCTACACAGAACTAGTGCAAAACATAGACATTATAACATAAGACAAAGAAAAAGGGGGAAAGGTTTGATTTAATAAATAAAACTACAATCATATCAAGTTGCATATCAAAAAGCAGAATTTCACAAAGCAAGGTAACATTCAAGAGGCAATATATCCATTTAAAGTAAATGAGGAAGCAAACTTTCCTAAACCATATACCCTTAACAATAAACCAAACTGATGGTACAACACTGCCCTCTACTGGAATCTACTAGTAAAGATAAGCCTGAAGGAAAAGGACTTTGAAGTGTTTTCTTTCAAAAGGGCTTAAAGAAATACTATTTTACCATAAATGCAAATTTAGTCTAATATCGCTGCCAAATTTTTGTCCCATGTCAGCTAACATTCTGGTAACAGAAACCTCATCACCCCTAAAAAGTCTTTCTTGTTATTTAATAATCTCTTATATCTGAAAATTACTTCTCTCGATCTCTCTGCAGCAGAAAACCACTGCTCAGAGGATGTTCTGCAAATATTGAAGAGCAAATTCATTCCACTGACTCATCCATTCTCCAAATAAAATCACTCAAGTCCCTAAAGTGGTGTTCTTATGGTTTTAGATGTCTCTATCACTCTGAAAACTCATCTCTAAGTGTGTTTTTATTTCCTAACAAATTACTGCAAACTTATTGGTATAAAATTAGATAAAGATGGCCTCCCTGGTGGCCTAAGGGTCAAGTTTCAGCACTATCACTACTTCAGCCTGAGTTCGATCCCCGGCCAGGGAGCTGACCCACGTATGGCACAGCAGACCTCTCCTGTCTCATCTGCTGCTCCCCATAGCAATGTATTTCAGTGGATCTGCCTGCTCTGCTCCCCATTCTACCTCCTTTGGCCTACACCCCAGTTCTTTTTTTTTTAAAGATTTATTTATGTATATAGAACTGGGGTACAGGCCAGAGGTGCAGGGGCGGTGAGAGGAATCACCAGAATCAGAGTGGGGAGAACAGGCAGACTAAGGAAGTACACTGCTGAGGGGAGCAGTGGGCGGGTCAGAAGAGGTCTGAACAAGCCATGTGGATCACCTCCCGGGCAGGTAGGAATCGAACTCATGCTGAAGTCGCTTGTAGCTTCTTAGTTCTGTGCTTTAACCTACTGAGCCACCAGGGAGGGCCCTACACCCCAGTTCTTGTATGAAAAAAAAAATGAATAAATAAAATCTTTAAAAAATAAAAAGATAAAGTTATTGTCTTACAATTGTTTAGTTATAGTTAGTTCTCACTAAGCCAAATTTAAGATGTTATCAGGGAAGCAATAGGCTATGAAAACCCATTTTGTTGCCTTTCAGTCTTCTAGAGGTCAGTCATATATTTTTTGTCTCTCTTACTATCTTCAAAGTGAACAATAAGGCATCTCTCTGACCATATTCCCATAATCTCATTTCCCGCTGAACTTGACTTCAGTGGGGAAAGATATTTTTAAGAACTCAAGTGATTCAATTGAGCTCACTCAGATAATTCAGCATAATCTCCATCTTAGAGTCCTATCATTATTAATTATATCTGCTAAATCTCCCTTTTTCACAGAAGGTAACATATTTACAAATTTCTGGAGGGTTAGGAATAAGGTTACCAAAAATGCCCTCCCATTTGTCCTTGTTCCTTCTTTAATAGACTGCACTGTATGAAACATGATTCACTGAATGATCAGTATGGAGTAAAACAGGTACTATACTTCATTTCCAAGTACCATACTTCTAATGTCTGGATTAAACCCAAAGAAGTTATATCTAATTTTTACTGGGCTATTCACTAAAATGCTTACATTTGTCTAAACACAGTTTTTAAGTCACTCCTATCTTATCCTTTACTTGATAGCTATTTTTCTATACCTAAGTACTTACCTTTATTCCTGTTGTTTCATTTTGTCAGATTCCCTATTCTTGAGATTGTTTTGGATCTCAATTAAATTCTGTCCCAGTCACCTATATTGAGTGTTCCCATTATATTATCACTGATAGAAAATATGAACAGGGTAATGCATTAAGAGTCCTGCAGTAGATCAGAAATCTCCCTAAAGTTCAGTGATCACTAATGTCAATGTGTAGCGAGTCTTTGAGAGTCTCTATGTCCCATCTCTAGAGATTTTGATTCAAGAGGTCCAAGACAAGGCCCTCGCCCCAAATAGAGTTTCAGGTGATTGATCTGCAGAGCATATGGGAAACACTGTTCAGATACCAGGTATCAATCAGGCTCCTTTTTGGTATGGTCAATCAGAGACAAGCCACCCATTTTTCTTCACACTCTGCCTATTTTTCCTACCACTTTCAGGAAGTTATCATGAGAAGAAACTGGTCAAATGATTAGTCATAATAAAGCTACTGTATTTCCCTGCTCTATCAGTCCTGCTAGCCTATAAAAGAAAGAAGTGATGCATGGTTTGTTCTTAGGAAATTTGTTCATTGTGTTGACAATGACAGCTTCATCTTCAGTGCCCACATTTTACTTCCTTAGTTCCCCATTTAGAATTGTATTGGAACTGCACTTATTTACCTCCAATCATTCAGAAAATCTGCTGTCTTTAAAACACAAAGATCACAGACAGCTGTAACCTCCTTTCTGAACTATCATGGAATGTAATACATCTAGATCCAAATACCTGAACTCCTGAAAGACGTGCCATCATGTGGAGCTTCACTCTCCCTTACTAATGCCCATTCTACACTTTTCAGTTTGAAGGTCACTTTCCTTGTTATAAAGGACAGAAGCGAAATAGAATTTTCAGAGTTCAGCTTTCTCAGTATCATTGTAAGTTCCATACAGCAGATTCACCTCCTTTATCATCTTTTCTTTTGCTCTAAACATAATTTTAAGTATCCCACGTCTTCCTTAGGAATTCTTACAAGTCTTTACTCATTAGAGATTTTATTTTCTTGTTAACCTTATATATGCAAACTTGCTTTTTACATTTGCTCTAATCTAACTTTACCTTTCATATATATTTTTGAAATTGAGCTCCAACTAATAAAAAAAAATTAACTACTGGAGTTAAGGAAATGCATAGAGGTTCACTGGGCACTGGGCAAGTCTTACATTGTCTATAAAATACTACTTACTACAAAATACAAAGTGTAAATAAATATTTACACTTTCTTTTATTGGTTGGGATGATTTGATTTGAATTAAAATATAAATTACACATTCTCCAAATCTCCCAGCCCAGATCTTCCAGCCCAGATGCCTGTCATTTCTTCTTTGACTGCCTTTTCTTTGGACTACTTAAAGTCAATAGTTCAGGATGTAGTCTCATTTTGCCTATCTCTTCCAATCAGCAATACAAAATTTTAAGTTACCTATTTTTTTATCTAGGATTAACTTCAAAACTTTCTACTTTTCATTTGTTCTTCCATTATCTCATGACCCATTATCTTTCAAATTGGGGTCCTGTACCAGAAGCACTAACATCACCTGTGAGGTTGTTAGAAAGCAAATTCATAGGTCTCACCCCACCTACTTTATCAGAATCTCTGTGGATAGGGCCTGGAAAACTCTCCAAATAAGTCCTATATATATTTAAGTTTAAGAAAAACTATTAAAATGTTGTTAACAAAAACATGTATGCTTTCATGTCAGTTTTCACATACAAGAATGATATAGTAATGATTTTTGTCACTTAAAGAAAGAAGTTAAAATAAACTGGGAAGTTATTACACTCTTTCTACTGACTAGAAATGCCACCCTTTTATATTTTACTCCAGCAAATAAACTTTATCATAGTTAAAATGATACTATCCTAGGACCATTATAATACATACACATCTACCCCAAAAGATCTCTGACATACTGGTGAAATCTCTTTCTCTGACCAACATACATTCAACAGAGCTCATGTCAAACTAAAGTATGCTATTGAACATGAACTTTCTCATGGCAGTCCTGTGATAAATAGACTAACGAGCCAACAATTTCTACTTTCATCCATTCACTCAACATTACTAAGTGGCTATAAGCTGTTTTCAATCATTAAGTATGTAAAATGTACAAAATATAATGTGGTAAGGAATATTTCTATATCTCCATTTTTTTTTTTTTTGAGAAATTCCTGTCACACTTCACATATAGTTTTATGTACATAAATGATCTTACCTCTCTTACAGATAGCTGTGGTGGGAAGGAGACTGAAAATACCAAGCTGGTGAATTCAAATCCAGAGGCCTCAACCTTTTGACACACCTAAAAGAGTATTATAATTATATAAATCCCCAGAAATTGCTGAAATTTTTATAATCTTCATAACATGAATTTTTGGTTTAGGAGATAATACTGCTACACTTCTAAACTTTCATCTTTGAGTAGAGAATTTTCACAAATATCCTGATCGAATATTTGCTATCAATGACCCAGAGGACCAATATCACAAAGTGCCAAACCAGCCAGGACTCACCTGCAGGACAATCTGTCAAGTGTCAAAATTGTTTTCTATTAGCTTGCCTCAAAATTTTAAACAAAATGAAGTCAAATATGACACTCTTGACAGCTGGAAACAAAAGGCAATTCCACATTCAATCATGTACTTTCCACAGGCTGTCACACTTGTCTTTTCAAAACACTAACAGGTATGAGTAAGAGAGCTTTCCTCTAACTCCTTAGGTATGTGAAACACTAAGGGACAAATGCATTAGTTTTCAACTAAATAGCTCTCATGACTGAAATTCATTGATACATATTTTAATTTTCGGATATTGCATTGCAAAAAGGCAATTTGAGAATATTAGGGTTTTTTAAAAAAAAAAATAAGAAAATGCTAATGATCCATCAGTATGAGACAAGTTTAAATGAATGGCATTCTTCCTTTACATTTAAAACTTCTGGACCTTAAGGCTGAAAATTACACAATAAAAAACCAGATTATGGCCCTCCCTGGTGGCGCAGCGGGTTAAAGCACAGCACTGAGAAGCTAAAGCCACTTCCGCATGAGTTCGATTCCCGCCTGTCCCGGAGGTGACCACATGGCGTGGCAGACCTCTCCTGACCCGCCCGCTGCTCCCCTCAGCAGTGTACTTCATCGATCTGCCTGTTCTGCTCCCCACTCTGTCTCTGGTGAATCCTCTCACCCTCCACATCTCTGACCTGTATCCCAGTTCTGTATGAATAAATAAAAATAATAATAATAATAAAATAAATAAATAAAAACCAGATTATTTACCTTTTTAATGAACTCTTTTTCACAAAATTCTTGAAGAATTCCTAGGCATATATTGCATACATTTAACTTTGAGTTCTTGGAACCAAAGTTTTCATCTTCAATAACAGAGATCCTTCCTTCTCCATTTTGACTCAGATTACCAATTCCATCTTCTAGTTCTTGCAGTCGAATTTTCTTGGGAGGTGGATTTGAAACTTCCAAAATTAACTCATCTTTTTCAGTTTTCAGAAAGTTCTGTAGTTGATTGAGCAACTCCTAGAAAGTTTAAAAAAAGTAATAACCCTTTGACAATGCCCATAAGGGTAAAATATGAAGTGTGAAAATTATGACATCGGGCCCTCCCTGGTGGTTGCAATGGGTTAGGACACAGCCCTGCAAAAGCTAGCCACAGCCACTTCAGTGAGTTTGATCCCTGGTCCTGGAGGTGACCCACATGGCGTGGCAGACCTCTCCTGTCTAACCTGCTGCTACCCTCAGCAGTGTACTTCATCAATCTGCCTGTTCTGCTCCCCACTCTGTCTCTGGTGGATCCTCTCACTGCCCCTGTACCTCTGGCCTGTGCCCCAGTTCTGTATGCATAAATAAATCAATCTTTAAAAAAAAAAGAAAAAGAAAACTATGACATCATAGATTTACAAAATGCCGGTTTATATAAATTTTGGAGCAATCAATCAATTAACCACTGGCTTTCTGGAGAACTTAAAAGAGAATTACCTACTTCCTGGAACATGTGTGAATATTTTTTCAAAAGACTTTAATATCTTAAATCTGAGACAGAAATCTTCCATTAACAAATTTATTATTTGATTTGTAGTTCTATTGTGAGGCTGATTCACTTGCTAGTTTCAGTAAAAAAGTTAAATTCTAGGGTGACTTGGTGATGGGAAACCCACGGGGATTACAATTGAGATGGAAAAAAAATGTACAAAATGATGTAAAAATAAACTGTTGTAAATTAAAATATATATATATCAATTACTAGTAAGGAAACAAATTATAGTAACCCTATCTGTTACTAGCAGAATAATTTACGGCCATTAAAAAAAAAGTTAAATTCTAAATATTAACAAATAGAAATACAAACTGAATTTCTGTTCTTGCTAGGCTCTCACAATCACTAAAACCTCATTTGAACAATATTTAGTTAATATGAAATCTGAAAAATTAGTCTACTAAGTAAAAGTAATTTTAAGACAACCTATTAAGCAGAAGTAAACAGGTATTGGTAGTGCTGAAGCTTGGCACCATAATTGCAAATCATTTATATGCAGTAATTGAAATAAGCCCTCTATACTCACTTCTGTTTTGCCTAATTTTTTTACTCTTTGTATTAAAATGTGAAACATGTCATTTTTATGAAACCATTCTCACTTTTCAGGCATTCCAAACATCTAAAATGCCCACAGAATTTTCCCTCTGTTTTGTTTAGACTAACAAAAGTAGTAGCTTTTACTACTCAGTAGTTGAATACTCTGAAATTCACTCAGATCACAACTTACTGATTCAAAGGGAAAAATTTTTCATTCAAATAAATTTAATTAATTTTATTAAGAAATTAGCTCTATTTTACTTTTATCAGAAGTATATATATACACACATGTATATGTGGAATATATATATACATATATATTTAAACAGGTAGATTATGACCCACACAAATATGTTTATTATTTATTACCTAAGATGTATAACATCAGTAGAACATAGTACATATATATGTATGTGTACATATATAGCTATATGAATAGAACACATCAAAATTACTTTTACCAAAAAGTCACCAAATATTGTTTATTTACATAAAGTGATACAAGCAAAAGTTAGCAACACTGTCTTATATAATATGTACTTTAAATCTTACAGTAATATCTTAGAATAAAATATTATAATGTGTGGAATAAATGTGTAAGGAGAGCTACACAAATCCATCTTATTATTTTATAGTTATAGTGTATATAAATAAATATACACATATTAATCATCAAAGCATATATATCATTTCCAGTTTTCAAAGTATTTTCACATACTTTATTAGGTATTGTCCCTTAAAATTCTGTGAGGTGGATGTTATCATTTCCATTTATAGAGGAGAAAAGTGAAGCTGGAAAGTTGTGGAACTGGAATTCAAATCCATGTCTTCTAGCTCCAAATTCTAGGCTTTGGATTCAGACAGTTCATATCCTAGCTTGCTCACTTAACAGCTGTGTACCTTTGGGCAGAAACTGTGCCTCAGTTTCTTCATCTGAAAATAGAGACAATCATAGTATGTACTTACCTAATAAATTATTATAGAATTAGATGAGAACGTGACATATAATAATGCTAAATGAATATGGGTATAATAATTATTTCCAAAATAATAGAAACAACACATAGGGAAAAAGATGGCTGTTGCTAACTCCTAAGCAATTTTTAAAAATTGTAACAAAATGAGTGTGTATACGTGTGTATGCATACTGTTTACAAACTTTAAATCTAGCCGATAGATTCTTAAATACTATAACCTTAAGTGAAGCAGCCTAAAATTTAAGCAGGTCCTCAAATAATGTGATTTCAACCATGTAGGACAGGATTCTCATCAATGTTATAACAAAACAGCATTGAAAGAAACTTATTCAAAGATCTAATGTAATTACATGACTCTGAAAAAAGCATCCCTATTAGAATCAAATGTATTTCATGTAAATACATGTTACATATTTTATGGGCAAGTATTTTATTAAATGTCAAAGCTTTCTGTATATTATCATAAATGTTAAAGATCTCCACATTACTTTTTTTATTAACAGTACTTAAAGATGATGACGATAGGTACTCACTTCTAGAGGGTTCCAAACACCTAATTGTATACACAAATAGAAAATGGAAAAAGGTGGGTCTCCCTGGAGGCCTGTGGGTTAAGGCTCAGCCTATCACCCCTCTAACCTGAGTTCGATCCCTGGCCAGGGCTGAACCATATAAGGTGCAGCAGACCTCTCCTGTCTCACCTGCTATTCCCCTCAGCAGTATATTTCAATAGGTCTGCCTGTTCCATTCCCCCACTCTGTCTCCAGTGAATTCTATCACATCTGGCCTCCTCTCCAGTTCTACGCATAAACAGATCTTTCAAAAAGGAAAAAAATGGCAACCAAACCCACAATGTTCCCACTTAATAAAAGATCTAAGGACTACCACATCCAAAAAGTAGTATTTTGTCCAGATATCCCATGACATTTTACATATTAGATAAAATCACTGACGAAAGAACTTAAAACTTCTGAGACTATCTTATGATAATGACAATTCTATCATAAACATCAATAATTTATTGTAGTTTAAGGAAACTGCATTGTAATATTATGATAGAGACGTCTTCAAATGAATAGCTCTCCATGTAAAAGTAGAAAAATCTTCTTAAACTTAAAAAAAAAATGAAGATACCTTGTATGAAAGTTTGTAAGGAGCATGAAAATCCACACCACAGAATCTGAAGATACATCTTGGGCAGCTACCAGTCCTGAGCAACAACTGGGCGATATGCTTGTTTTCCTCAGTCAGTGGAAACATATTGAATAATTATAGCTAGAAAGAAAGGGGGAAAAAATGAAAAACTAATGAGCACCTTTCATGTTTTAAAAACTTTCACAGATTTTAGGGACTAAAAACTAGCTTTTATTTGTAAAACTTTTTTTTTATACTATTCAGTATAGTACCTTTCATTAAATGCACATTGAAACATAAACTTGAAGAAAATTTATAGGATGGGATCAAGTGAAAGTTTTTAATTGTCAAAAAATGTAGTTTAGCATTTTGCATTATGATTAAATACATCAAAAAAAAAAAAACCCATAACATATAAAAATAAAAGTAATGGAAAATAGTCTTAGGGGAGGGTAATGCACACAAGAGTAAAATTTTGTTTTTTATTTTGTACCATTCATTACTGGCATATACTTGAATCACAGAGTAGTACAGTCAATTTTTTTTAATTAAAAATGAGTTAGCTAAAAAATGACTTTTTAATTTAAAAGAAGATTGATCCATATTACATAATATTTCACTAAGCTTAATGATAAGCAGTCAAGTATTTTTAAAAAATTTATCAATATCCAAAAACATCAATTTTATTTTGATGAAATAACTAAAGGACAACCAAATGTGAGCAAAATGAGAAAAAAAAATCTGTTCATTTGTTCATTTTATAGACAAGCAAAACCACCAACAAAAATCAAACACAAAATACTTTATAGAGTGATTACATATCTAAAGTTAAATTGCTACCTTCTAAAAAAATTGAACAAGCTCACTTAAAAAATAAAATATTAGAAAAAGAAAGGAAATCCAGTGTCACTTTCTTGTTGTCAGGAAGGGTGACCCTAAAATTTAAATTACCTAATCACCAAGTTTGGTAAAGATAGAGGTTCTGGGGCCTCCCTGATGGCACAAGGGATTAAATCTCAGCACTATGAAGCTATCAGCAGTCACTGCTGATCCTGGTGGGGAGCTGCCCCACAGCAGACCTCTCCTGCCTTTCCCACTGCTCTCCTTAGCAATGTATTTCAGTTAGTCTGTCTATTCTGCTCCCTACTCTCTCTGGTGAATCCCCTCACCACCCCCACACCTTTTGCCTACACCCCAGCTCTTGTATGCATAAATAAAACAAATCTTTAAAATAACAGTTTCTGATTAATCAGTTCACATTAAAGTGAAGAACCAGTGATATTTTATAAAATAATGATTGCATAGCAATGATGTATATGGCATAATGTGGTGATGTAGATAAAAGTCAATGAGTGACACCTTTTAATCTATGCAGTTTCTTAATCAAATGAAGGTGTTTAAAATTTGGGGTAGGGTAAAGTCCTCACCACCCGCTTAGTATGAAGGTATGAGTCTTAGAATTAGTTTTCTAACCCTTTAAAACTCACTACTTTATTGTAAGTTTGTAAATGTTTGCAACCACTAATAAAGAGTAGATCCTTCACACCAAATAAAAAGTAGGAGCCTCCCTGGTGGCCCAGGGGTTAAAGTCTCAGCCTTATCAAGCTACTACCAGCCACTGCAAACATGAGTTCAGTCTCCAGCCAGGAAGGAGACCCACATGGCACACTAGACCTCTCCCGACTCACCTGCTGCTCATGTTTATCTCAGCAGATTCACCTGTTTTCTGGTGACCCACTCTGTCTCTGGTGCATACTCTTACTCCCTCTCCCCCCATACCTCTGGTCTGTACCCCAGTTCTTGTATGCATAAATAAATACAATTAAAAAGTAGGAATCTTTATCATAAAAATCAGTTCAGCAGTCAGGACTACAAAAAACAGATTGCTTTGGCTGAATTGACAAAAAAAAAAAGGAAGAAAAGAAAGCCAGACTTGTCCAGACACACCCAAAAAAAAAGAATGTTCAGACTTGGGAGAGTTTTCAAGGTTAGGAAACACCAATTCAGTTGCCTAAGTAAACTTGAGTCCTAGGGTATTTTGAAGAGATTACACAGAATATGTACAGGACACCCTCTAAATAATGAAGCTCTGTGTCATCATTATCTCTAAGTGATATAAATTCCTGGCCCCAGATTCATTTAATCTGCTAGCTTGGTGAGAAACAAGGGATGGAATTCTGTGAGGCCATGAGGGGATAATTATTTGTAGTTCAAAACCTATCCCTGACAGCATTACCTTCATAAAGAAACTGTTTCTGTTTCACCCTTTATTTTAAATTGTCTTTTCTCCTTTCCATAAAAATCAAGAATTTCATTTAATTCAGATTAATCTTTAACTCAGAAAGAAATCCTCCTCTCAGGTAAGCAAACTAGTTGGTTTTTTTTTTTAAAAAGGACACTTTGTAAAAAAGGACACTTTGTATCAAAAGTTTTCTTGGGGAATTTAAGTTAAATGTTTCTTTCCTTTGATTTAAAGAATGACCATGTAATAGGTTCAATAGGATAAAGGTACTATGCAAAATCAACAATTTCTTGCCTCTGAGAAGTTCCCAAACATGTTGAGAATTAAGAAACCTCCTAAGTAATTTCAAAGGCACTTGGAAAAAAAAGAACAAAACTCTCTAGAATGTATACATGTTAATAATTAATGGATTTATAAAGCTCTCGAGATCATTTTCACCTAACAACATTCTAGCAACCTCTCAAACACATTAACAATAAAAGATGGAACTAAATTATGCCCTAAATTGCATCATCTTGACTTACAGCGCTTAAAGGATAGCATTTCATAAGACATCAGTTGTTCCATGGGAATTATCTTTGAAAACAAGTCCATACTGTAAGATCTTTGTTGGTCGTCTTAAGATTTTTTTTCTTTTCACACAAAATAAAAACAAATGCTTAGATTACCATAACAAAATGGTGGTCATGGGGGTGAGGAAAGGTAAATAAGTAGGCTAAAAGAAGCCAGTTATATGGCGGTGGATAGAAATTATACTTTTGGTGGGAATTATAATGTGCCACATACAGACGTCAAACTATAACGCTGTACACAGGAAATCTACATAATGTTACAAGCCAGTAGTTATTTCAGTAAAATAGTTAAAAGAAAAAAGTTTTGTTTTTAGTTGACGTTTGTTTTACATAAAACTCTGGGATAAGTCACTGCAAGAGACCCTTCTCCCAAAAATGTCACATACAAATTCCAGTCTTAGGTTTACTGGAAAAGATTCTTTTGGCCTGTCGGACGACTGGCTATACAAACAGGGAAGGAGCAGAGCATATGAAAAAACAATAACAACAACAAAAAAATAAACAAAAAAAAAAAACCCGACTAGACTCAGTGTCGCACCCCGAGAACGTTTAAAACTAATTTCCACATAAAAGGATGGCATTCCTCCACGGGGATGGGGGTGGGGTGTGGATTTCCACATCAGGTGCTCAGAACTTCACTGAACTGAACTCCCGATACATTCAGATGTATCTACACTAGAGTCCTGGAAAGTTCACCCAACGTCTAACCTCTAATTTCTCCTTGGGCCAAACAAATCTTTACCTTACCTTCTTCGATCAGTCCAAGAAACTTCTCACTCACCCTTCCTAGCTAACAAAGCCGATCCAGGAGGAAAGAAACGATCCCCTCTATCCACACCTCTCCAGCACCCAGTCCGCATCCCTCCACTCAGTATCCCCCGGCCTCACCTTCTCCCACCACGCCAGTGCCTGAGATTTAACCCCTTCTGGCCCTCGGAGGGGACAGGGAAGATTAAAGACAACGCACCTATTGGCGTCTAGCAATTCTGTTCCCCGAGGAAACGAGAGCTTTAGAACGAAAGTACCAGCCCCTCTCAAGAGGATTGAGCGAACTCTTCCCTATTTGTTTGTAAGGAAATCAGAAAAACTGCCTGGCCTGCCCCACACACACACACACTCCCCTCCCCCGCAGTGTAAGAATGCAAGCAAGAGTGTGTGGGGCAATACCCTGGGCTTGAACTGGACTAGTCCGGGAGAAGCCTCGATGAGACTCCGACGTCTAGGAAATAGTAGCCGCTGCCGGAAACGTCGATGAACCCCTACCGTCAGGTTTAGACTGAAAATTCTTTTTAGGGTAAAAGGAAATAGAGTTTCCCCTCATCTGCTGGCATTTTCCGCCCGCTGGTCCCACTTGGCAAAGCAGAAAAAGCTGACTCCCGATTGCAGGGATGGGCGGGGCGGAGGCTCGGCTTTCTGTTCGTTGTGCCTGGCGCGCGAGGTGCCAGTGTACCCTGGCCGGCGAGACCCTGCGCCAAGCGGGAGCTGAGCGGAGCCGGAGGAGATGGCGTCTCAGCCGCCGCCTCCCCCGAAACCCTGGGAGACCCGCCGAATTCCTGGGGCTGGCCCCGGGGCAGGACCCGGCCCTTCTTTCCAGTGAGTGTGGGATACTTCAGGCCGTGGTTTGGTGGGCCGGAGCCGGGACTTTGCAGGAGACGGTTGAGGCCGTTGTTGGGGTGAGGTGTCCCCTCCCCCTCTCAACAAGCCCCCAATCTTGAGGGGATGGGAGGTGGAGTCCAGGCACCTACGAGGGACATTTCGTAGTCAGCATGCTGTTTCTGACTTCGCGGCACTTGTTTGCGACCTTTCCAGGAAAGTCCTGACCACCTCTTTGGATCCCGGAGCTTGGAAGCAAGAGGGCAATCTCCTACCCGCTTCTGTTTGCGCGACACCTTGACAAAACTTCTTGACCCATATTGAAGTATTAGACTTTCGGTCAGCAGTAGATGACAGTGGCATTTGTCCAGCTCCGGCTCGATAGGGAGCAAAGTCTCTCGTAAATCTTTTAACAACCTCTGGAGAAATTGGTGAAAACCCCAGAGATCTCTTTGTGCTTTTCTGTGCTTTTTCAGTATAACTCAAGCTCTGTTTGGGATAAAGGCTTAAAGAAACAACTTTAAAGTAGGATTTCTAAATCTGAGTTCTGTCGATGGCTTTTGGTTGTGGGATTTTTTTTTTTAAGGGCCTATGTATGCATATAAGAGCTGGGATGTAGGCCAGGGGTGGGGGGGGGGGGGGGGTGGTGGTGAGAGGATTCACTACTGACAGCATGGGGAGCAAAATAGGCAGATCGACTGAAATATGCTGCTGAGGGGAACAGCCTGCCGACTGGAGATGTCTGTTGCACCCTGTGGATTAGTTCTCTGGCCTGGAATTGAACTGGTGCTGCAGTAACTGTGGGTAGCTTCACAATGCTGAGATCTAATCCCTTGCGCCACCTGGGAGGCTCAGGATTGATTTATTTATGCATACATGAACTGGGGTACAGGCCAGAGGTGCAGGGGCAGTCAGTATTCACCAGAGACAGAGTGGGGAGCAGAGCAGGCTGACTGACTAAAATACTGCTGTGTGGAGCACCAGGGAGGACAGGAGAGGTCAGTCGCACCATATGGGTCACCCCCCTGGCTGGGAATCAAACTCGTGCTTCAGTATCTGCACATAGCTTCATAGTGCTGCACTTTAACCCGTTGTGCCATCAGGGAGAGCCGCATCAGAATTTTTTAAAAATAAAAATTATACAAATAGTTCAACCCTCCCCTTCTTTCCCCAGTAACTACTGCCCTTACTTGATGTTTAGTGTAGCAAATGTTTTATACTTTAGTACTTAGGCTGGTGTGTATATTTTGTGTGTGTGTGTGTGTAATATATATATAGTGTATACATTTAAGTGTGCATATATGTATAAAATAGATATTTTCAATTAAATAGATATCTTCAAAGTGTGTGTATCACTTTGCAAAACGTTTTCCCACTTATTGGAGGTTTATCTTGTTCCTATGTAGCTGTAGTTAATTTTGATTGCAAAAGGATATTCGTTTTATGAAAGTAAACCATTTGACTATTTGTTCCGTTGTTAGAGATTAGTTGTTACATATTTAAAGCTGTAATGAACATTCTGTGCCTTTCTCCTTGTGCTTATTTATCCAAGAGGATTTCTAATGCATTACTGCAAGTGGAAATCACTTCCTATCACATATGCTTATCTTGAAATATTGTTGTTAACGTTGCTCCCCCAAGTGGTTGTATACCAGTTTTTAGGTTTTCACTAGCAAGGTATTGTTTCTCTCCATTCCTTGCAACACTCAGTATTGTTATATTTTAGTTGTATATTTTTCACATATTAAGTGGTTATTAAGTGGTATTTTATCTTTAATTTGTACCTCTCTAATTAGTAATGACATTGAGCATCGTTTTGAATGTTTTTTACCCTGTTGAGTTTTTTTCTTGACTTTTTGCCCTCCCTTTCTCTTAAGTGTATAAGTGTGTGCATACTAATCCGTTTGATTGTACACTTTTAATATTTTTCAGCCAGTGGTTTGTCTTTATTTAAATTGATGCTCATTTTTGTTGTACATATTTTAATATAACCAAAATTTCTCATTTTATTGTTTTTATGTTAAGAAAATTTTCTTTGCATTTCTTTTCAAATGTTTAATTCATCTGGACTTGGCTTTGATGTAAAATATGGAATTTATTATTTCCATGTGGCTAACTAAATGATCCAGTACTATTGATTAATCTATTCCATATTAGCTTATAATACCATCTACATCTTTTCAAGTTTTCTTAAACATGGGTTATGTTTTTTGGAGCTTCCTGCTATATTCTATAGGATTATATGTCTTTTTTATTTTTACTATAATTTAAAAAATAATGTAATAGTTTATTTTTACATCATTTTGTGCCTTTTTCCATCTCAGTTGTAATCCTGTGGGCTTCCCATCACCAAATCACCCGTGTGCCATCATCATAATCCGGTGTACTTACCACATCACCCTCCCACCCTCCACCCTTACCCCTGCTTTTGAGCCCATTCCCCGCTCTACCTCCGTAAAATATCTCTGGTTGTTCATTATTATTATTATTATTTACCCTGGTTCTTTATACTCCTGCCATGAGTGAAACCATCCAGTATCTTTCTTTTTCTTTTTGGCTTATTTCACTAAGCATTATCCCTTCCAGCTCCATCCATGTTGCTGCAAAAGGCATGTTTTTATCTTTTTGATTGCTGAGTAGGATTCCATTGTGTATATGTACCACATCTTTTATTTTTTTTAATTGAAGACTTTTTTAAATTTATTTATTCATACTGAACTGGGGTACAGGCCAGAGATGCAGGGGTAATGAAAGGATTCACCAGAGACAGATTGGGGGGCAGAACAGGCATCGACGAAGTACACTGCTGAGGGAGTAGCAGGCAGGTCAGGAGAGGTCTGCCACACCATCTGGGTCACCTCTACGACGACGGGCAGAGATTGAACTCATGCTGAAGTGGCTTTAGCTTCTTAGTGCTGTGATTTAACCCACTGCATCACCAAGGAGGGCCCTATATGTCTGTTCTTAATGCTAGCATCATACTGTCTCTGTAATTTTTTTATATAGTATGGCATGTCAAGACCCTCCACACACATTGCTGTTCTTCACATTTGCCTTTGTAACCTTAATAATGTTAGTCGTAATAAATAGACTGGAAATTTTATCAGAACTTTAAAGTTGCTAAAATTTATTTGTAGCTCAAGTAAGTTCATCCAAATGAGTTGGAATCTGACCTTCATTTTTTTCTCCTATGTTTATAATTGTTTCCATCAAGTCCTTTCCCATCCCTTACAACATAGATACAACCAGCATAATACAAGACTCTTAAATTTCTCCTCATGGCTTGTTTGAAATTCTTGAATTGTGTGTTGACAAGTCCTGTCATTTACCAATAATCCTCTCAGATAGCCAACAGCCTTGTATTAGTTCTGACTTTAATTGTAATGTTTCCCAAGTCTCACTACTAAGTATAGAGTTTACTTTTTAAAAAATTATTTATGCATACAAAAACTGGGGTGTAGGCGAGAGGTACAAGAGATGGGGGGGGTGGTAAGAGGATTTGCCAGAGACAGAGGTGGGGAGCCGAACTCCTGCTGCAGTGGCTGGGGATAGCTTTATAGTGATACCTTTAACCCCTGAGTCCCCAGGAAGGCCTTAGTTTACATTTTTTAAATAGATTTTATGCTGAGCTTCTATGCTTAGGTTTTTTTTTATTATTATTATAAGAAGTATTAAGTTTTGTGAACGCATCTATTTTCTGCAACTATCGAGATAGTTAAAATTACTTCTTTTTTATTTTATTTATTTTTTAAAGATTTATTTGTGCATACAGAACTGGGGTACAGGCCAGAGGCTCTGGTGGTGAGAGGCTTCACCAGAGTGGGGAACAGAACAGGCAGATCACTGAAGTACACTGCTGAGGGGAGCAGCGGGCGGGTCAGGAGAGGTCTGCCACACCATGTGGTCACCTCCGGGGCAGGCGGGAATCGAACTCATGCAGAAGCGTCTTTAGATACTCAGTGCTGTGCTTTAACCCGCTGCACCGCCAAGGAGGGCCCTGTAGTTTATTTTTACATCATTTTGTGCCTTTTTCCATCGCAGTTGTAATCCCTATGGACTTCCTATCACCAAATCCCCGTTGTGCCATAGTCTGGTGCACTTCCTCCCCCCACCCCCCATTTTTGATCCCATTCCCCACTCCACTCCCATGAAATGTCTCTGGTATATAGTTGTTCATTATTACCCCTCCCCTCCCCCTAGTCCTTTATGCTGCTGTTATGAATGAAACCATCTGGTATTTTTCTTTTTCTTTCTAGCTTATTTCACTAAGCATGATCTCTTCCAGCTCCATCCATGTTGCTTGCTGCAAAAGGCATGTGTTTATCTTTTTTGATTGCTGAGTAATATTCCATTGTGTATATGTACCACCTTTTTAATCCAGTCATCTGCTTTTGGGCATTTGGGTTGTTTCCATGTCTTTCCTATTGTAAATAAAGCAGCAATAAACATGGAGGTGCAGATGTCTTTTTGAATCAGTGTTTTTAGGTAATACTTAGGAGTGGGGTTGCTGGGTCATAGGGAAGCTCCATTTTTAGCAGTTTGAGAAACCTCCAAGCAGCTTTCCATTGTGGTTGTACTAGTTTGCATTCCCACCAGCAATGCAGGAGAGTTCCTGTTCTCCACATCCTCGCCAAATTTTGTTGTTGCTAGTTGTTTGAAGATGTGCCATTCTCACTGGGGTAAGGTGGTATCTCATTGTGGTTTTTATTTGCATCTCCCTTATTACAAGTGATGT